ATAATACAACTTATCATAATACAAAGTCATATAACTTCAGGGAAGCAGATCAGTTGATCTCCTTATGTCTCAGCCTAGTAATATCAGGGATAAACAAGAACCCATTTGTGTAGTTATTTGACTATTATTTGACTATGGTTTGAAGTCAGATGCGGGTAGTTTTTGATTGAACATTTGAAGGAACGTACTGATAGTGAAGAGCAGTGCGGCAAGATGTCTGTCAATGCGATGGGACATTTATGGAGGAAAGGATTAAATTTACCAGAACTCTGGGGTGGTGGGTAGGGTTAGAACAAAACTCCATCAACCTCTCCATCAGATTCTTCTCATCTAAGGATAGCCACCCAGGTAAGTTTATCATATGGCATTTGCAGGAACGGGAATGGAAAAGCACGGAACGGGGGCAAGAATGCATGTTACCGCACAGAAGAACGTTGGCGATGTTGTCAGGAGTCCCCAAGCTGTTCCCCAGCTGTTCCTGGCATCCGATTTTGAAGAACGGTTCAAAATCGTTCTTCAAAATCGGCTGCCATAGCACAGATGGGGAATGGCTTGGGGACTCCTGGTGGTATTGGCGACGCTCTCCTGTGTGGTAACACACATTCTCCCCCCATTCCATGCTATTCTGTTTCTGTTCTTGCAAGTGCTGTGAGATAAACTTACATTTACTACATTTTCTGGAGAAGTTCTCCCTGCAGTTTGCAACAGTACCTTATTTTCCTCACCTACATATCATGCATTTAGTGTGTTTTGTTTGATGTTTGGTTATTAGCACATGGGCTTAATTTTTAGATCTGTTTGCTGACATCCCATTGTGGGATGGGAAACTGGTTACGCTTAGGGAATATGCATTCCCCTTAATGTCTAGTTTGCAAGGAACAGAAATGGGCAGTAAGCATTGTTCTCAATGCCAAATGCAGTGTTTTGCTTCCTTCCGTAGATATGGATACCAGTTGTGCACATAGATGGGAGAATAAAAAAGGTCGCTCAGGGACACATTATTAGGGACAGATATGAAAACAGCTGTGGTGAGTCTAGCCTCAGAAAATTAAGACTGAGCCTATTTGCAGAGTCCTACTATCTTCATTGGCATGACACCCACCCGCTTCCTGTTCTGTAGGGTAAACCTAGCTATTACAAGCAGCATTCAGACAGCCTTCTTTTTGTTTTTTATTCTAAAGCAGTGACAGGCAACATGCAAACCAAAAGACATTGTTGGACTCCAACTTCCACCAGCCCTACAACCAATGCCAAGGAATGCTGCAAGTTGCAGTCCAACAACATCTGGAGAGCTATACTTTGCCCATCCCTGCTCTAAAGTAAGTGATCCAGGTTGAGTGCCTGCAAATTTTATCATAGCTCAAAGGTGTGAATCATATACTATCCAACTGTTCTGATCTGGCAGGGCCAGTCACAGTTAAACCTTGGTCATTCTACCTTTACAGCTGCTTTTAAAATGTCCCAGTTTATCTAGCATCTTCCCACTTTTCTCAGCTTATTTCAATTTAAGAAAAATAAATTCGAAGTGCAAAGACTGCACTCAGTTAAGTCAACAAGGGGAGAAGAAAGGTTGGAATCTTGCCTCTCCCCTGGGCTGAATCTGCACTGCAGAAAAAATACAGTTTTTACACTGCTTTAACTGTCATGGCTCCGGATCCTGGGATTTGTAGTTTGTTGTGCATCAGAGCTCTTTTGAGAGAGAAGGCTAAACATCTCAGAGGTATCAAACTGCATTATTTATTATGCAGTGCAGTTTCAGCCCTTTGTTGCTGTTGTGTACCTTTAAGTCATTTCTGACTTACAGCAACCCTATCAAGGGGTTTTCTTGGCAAGGTTTGTTCAGAGGGGGTTGCCTTTGCTTTCCCTTGTGGCTGAGAGAGTGTGACTTACCCAGCGGGTTTACATGGCTGAGTGAGGATTCGAACACAGATCCACAGAGTTATAATCCAACACTCAAACTGCTACATAGGCTGCAGCCCTAGATTCAGGCAAAAGCAAACTGCTGCAGGCCCTCTCTCCCCATTGATACCTCTTGCCATCTTGCCCACAAGAATCCTGTTTTTTAACCTGTGAAATGGTGAAGGGTATGGAATCATGCAGCAATGCTCCTTAAGACTGTAAGGACTTGCAGTCCATCAACATCTGCAAGGTCTGTAGTGTTGTATGATCCCCTGCCATCCTTTAGATCAGAGACAAGCAACTGGAGTGGGTCTGAGGGGCAATTTTCTATCACTGAGAAAATCCTCTGACTGTAAGAAAATGAGACAATAACAAAACTCGATGTGTTGAGGAGTCATTTCTGACCTATGGCTACTGGGCTGCACTTTCCCTGCATCCGACAAGACATAACATAGTAAAAATATTGCTATCCCTGATCCTCCCAGGACTGGCTGAAGTGACAGATTTGGAGCGTCATGCAAGGTCATAAGATGATTATTTATTTGAAAATTTCATATTGAATTTTATGAGGGATTTTCTGGCTTTAATATCGGAACGTGTCACTATAACTTTTTGTCTGCCTTGTCTACATTTTGTTCATTATACTCAAGACAATATGAATTGCTACTTTAGACATTTTTAGAATATATACTCAAAAACATCCTAGATTATTATTTAAAAAATATTTTAGACTATTTCAGAATCATAAAAGAGTCCTTTACTATATGCCTGTTAAAAGTATTTCAAAGCCTTTTGAAAGACTGGAAACAATTACTGTATTTTTCAGCATATAAGACGCTCCGGCATATAAGACGCA